TATTATTATAATCATCATCATCATCATCATCATTATCATCATTATCATCATCATCATCATTTAATTTTATTTCTCATACAAATAAGAAGCGAGATGTGCACTGAACCTTTGAATAAAATTGCATAAAGGCCAAGGTTTTATTAAGATCTTAGAAAGCCTAGCTGAAGGCCTGTCGGAATTGCGACTATTCATTCAGAGTTAACTTAAATTAAACTAGAGCTAGAACAAGAAAGCCGGGTATATAAGGCCGACGCGGTAGCTATATTATAGCCATACACATGGTTGGTTAATTTGTTTACCCTGAGTCATATACAATGCCCTTTTTTGGCCATCAAAGAAGAAAAAAAGGAATAGGGATAATTACATTTTAACAATAACAAGGTATACGTGTCATTTAGTTTCTTTGTCTATTGTCCCTGCGCTTAGATTAATTGTAGTTGGAGATCTTGATAGATCATTACATGTAGGCTACATATAATATAGCCCCTACTACGGGGGAAATAAAATGAAATGATTCGGGGTTTTTTTTAAGGCTGAGGAGATGCAGCTTGGCCACTGTGAATAACGTCTTGTGAATAATAGAAAATGAATCATTCAATCCGTCATGTAGCCTATCTTTTGCTCCCACAATAATAATATTATGATTTAATTTTCTCTGTATGAATCATTCCTGAGACAACCCAAAGAGTCGAATGATTACCCAGAAGCTCTGATGAAAGCCGGCTCGTTTTCACTAAAAGTACAAAAACAGTTCATCCGGTATTTGTTTGTTGTCAAAAACCTCCAAAATGGCCGTTTTTCGGCTTGATCCCTGTGGAATTATTTGTATTTTCATCACGTACTTAGCCGTGTTTTATGCTGATTATGTTATTGTGAGACATTTGGTGATCCCATCTCTAACAGAAACGTAGGTTTTGATTGAAAATGGTATCTGTGTAGACTGTTCTGGTTGTTTTAGTTCTGCCTGGGCCTTACCTCTGAACTGACTAACTGAACTGACTGCACTCTATACTTAAATAATAAAAGTAATTTACTGTGTAGATAGTAGATCTAATCTAGATCTAGTATGGACTGCTAGATCTAGTGAAGTGGTAGTAGATCTAGATCTAGATTCTAGTTGTATTTTAAAATCAATACAATTGTTTGCTGGGAGGGGGAAGTGGCTATTCTCACCTGGGGTGAGAATAAAAATACGCAGTGGCTATTTTACGGCGAGCCGTAAAGATAGCCTCCCAGTGAGTCCCAGGCTATTTTTACGGCGATCCTCGAAAAGCGACCCTACTCCGCATCTCATGTACGCGACATGCCTCAATGTATTAGATCTAGGCCTATCCTATAGGGGCCGTTCAAAATATAAACTTAGACCTCAGAGGGGAAAAGGTGTCTTTGGCTTCTGTACGTAAGAAAAGTGAAAGATTGGGTGGGGAGGTGAGATGAACGTTTTGCTCATGACTGGGAAGAAAAGGTAAAAGAAAAAGTGGATAAATGCCAGTAACAAGACCCAGATCTGTATGATCACTGCAGATCCCCGTTGTTGTTTTTGTTTTTTGTTTTTTTGGGGTTTTTTAGGGGAGGGGGGGGGGTTACAAATAATTTTGAAATTATGATGAAAATTCTGTAGGTGGGTATCTAATTTCTTAATGTTTCTTTGTAACTTTGCAACTGTTATGTTGATCTTTTAATGTCTTGATGTCTTTTATTTGTAAGGCACGTACCTATTGCATTGACAACAGTCTCAATGTCTTCCACATATATGCGTTCTTTCTAGTTCATATGGTTTGATTAAATTGTATTAACTGAAATGTTCTTTTTACGGCGGTCACAAACTGATGACGTAGAACACGTTTTTCAGTCTTATAAATTCCGTCTTGGCTTGTAGGTCTTGTAGGCTACTACATTATTTGTTATTTTATACTACATTTTACTAAATGACTAAACTAATGTAACATACTTTGAGCTGGTTAAAACTGAGAGTAAGGCACTATAATTAAATGACCTCTATTATTGGTATTATCATAATTATAGTCTTTATTCTGGACTTAAACAATTCAATGTTTTTATGTTCTTTACTAGGACCTTGTTGTTGTGGGATTCTTTGAAATAATAAAATAGATCGCATTTTTTAAGTTTTTGTGTTTTGTTTTCTGATGTGCTCATATTATTACTGTCCTTTTTTACGGGGAACAGCTCACCCCAAGGGTGATTCTTTTTCCTATTCATATTTAGGAAAAAAAATTATACAGGCATAAGAAATAATGAACAAAGGAAATTTTGATAAGTCGGAAAATATGAAAGTTGCCATGGAATGGAAACAGCACCAACTTGCAAAACAAACAATAATTTTTTTTAAACGAAGGCTTCTTACTCTCTACTCTAACAAAATTGCATGAAAATTGGTGCAATGGTAGATACAGATACTATGGTCAATCGTACTGAGCAAAATTTTGAAATTTGAATGTAAAAAAATATATGTGTTCCTGTACCCTGAAATTGCATCACAATAATTAATAAATTAATCATTGTGAACGCAAAAAAATTTTTTTTTACACCTCTATCAAAAATCTGCTCAGTGCAAATTATAAGGAAGGAGGAACATTTTAAAGGCATTCCCAAGGCGAAAAGTGTTAACTTCAAAATGGCCGCTCTTCTTTGTGGGTGTGGTATATGTAGTGATGTCAGTGAATGAGATGATGATGCTGGCAGTGGCAGTGATGATGGTAATGATAGTGACGAGGAGGTGATGGTGGTGGTGATGATAAAGAGAGGGTGAATGATGATGGTGGGGAGAAGAAGGAAGAGGTGGTGGTGGAGGAAAGGAGAAGGAAGATGAAGAAGAGAATAGAATGACGGTGAAGAGGAGGAAATGGAAAACTTATGGGGCTGTTCAAATATAATCTTACACTTTTGGGGACTTTTTTAAAACACAAAACCCAATACCACTTTTCTCACATTTGCCTCCAACCCCCACCTACACCAATTTAATATTAGTACTTTTTCCGATCTTCAATTTCCATTATTATTTTAAAGATACCTGTACTATATGTGGCTTTTTTTAACTAACTTGTAAAAAAAAATATCATTTCAGTTAATACAATTTAATCAAACCATATGGACTAAAAAGAAACGCATATATATATATGTGGAAGACATTGAGACTGTTGTCAATGCAATAGGTACGTGCCTTACAAATAAAAGACATCAAGACATTAAAAGATCAACAACAAAACAGTTGCAAAGTTATAAAGAAACATTGAAAATAATTTCAAAATTATTTGTACCCCCCCCCTCCCCTAAAAAAAAACAACCACAAAAAGCAACAAAAAAAACGGGGATCTGCAGTGATCATGCAGACCTGGGTTTTGTTACTGGCATTTATCCACTTTTTCTTTTACCTTTTCTTCCCAGTCATGAGCTAAACGTTCATCTCACAGAAATGTCATATTTGGTTAACCTCCCCACCCAATCTTCCACTTTTCTTACAGAAGCCAAAGACACCCTTTCCCCTCTGAGGTGTAAGTTAATATTTTGAACAGCCCCTATAGGCCTAGATCTAATACATTGAGGCATGTCGCATACATGAGAGGCGGAGTAGGGTCGCTTTTCGAGGATCGCTGTAAAAATAGCCTGGGACTCACTTTTACGGCTTGCCGTAAAAATAGCCACTGCGATAAAAATACGATCTACCTCTCACCCCGGGTGAGACTTGCCAGCGTAGGCTATTCTCACCCGGTGTGAAACAAGACCTGTTTTTCTTCATTTTGGAATACTGTCTATCGTTGTGGATGATCAAATTGATAAAAGCCAAGAAAAAATTACGGTATAGCACAAAAGTAAGCTAATTTGATCGTCTTCAAAGATGCTATGGCTATTTCATTTTTTGAATCGAGCCGAACTACGCAGGTCGCCATTTTGTTTTGCCCGGAAGTTCTCGCAAGATCTACTCCTCCCCCCTCTCTCTCTCTCTCTCTCTCTGTCTCTTTCTGAATACTGTCTATCGGTGTGGATGATCAAATTGACCAAGACAAAGTTAAAAAATGATGTTAAAAAACAAAACTAGATTAATTTGGTTGTCTACAAAGATGCTACGGCTATTTAACTTTCCGAATCGAGCCGAACTTCGCGGGTCGCCATTTTGTTTTGCCCGGAAGTTCTCGTGTTACTCCTCTCTCTCTCTCTTTCTCTCTCTCCACTGCCCACAGACAAAATTGCACGCTTTTAGTTTTAGGCTGACACTACAGTAGTAATAGATCTAGAACGTTTGTTCACAGCACAGAATTCTATAATTCTGTTATCACAGTGTAGAATTCTGTGGTTCAGGGTGAACGCTTCACTGGTTGGCCTAGGCTATAACGGTGAACGCCCACCGGGTGAGAATAGCCAAAAGACTCGCCTGCGCTATTATTCTCACCCAGGGTGAGAATAGAGGTGGCCTTTTGAAAGTCCTAAAAATTTAATTAATTATAGATCTATAAAGCAGGCGCTAGAGGTGATCTTATACTTTAGCACGTTAAATTCAATTGATTTTATCTTAGAAGCTATCTTAGGCTAGAGGTCCGCTCGCTCACGCGCTTGTTTGTGTGCGTGTGTGTGTGTGTGTGTGGCGGGATAGATAGATCTAGATCTAGATAGAAATCTAAACAGATAGATAGATAGACCTCTAGCCTACGATAGCTTAGATCTCTCTAGATTCTTGATAAAATCAATTAAAGAATTTAACCTGCTAAAGTATAAGATCACCGCGCTCGATTCTATTTGCAACGCTGCGTGTATAGCTCCCGTGCTATTTGAAATGCCAGTACTAGAATCTAGATCTAGATCTCTAGATCTAGTAGCCATCGTTTCTACATGATGATAATATTGTAGTTCTGCCTGAATTGTGGAAGCTTTGAACCTCAGTTTCTTGACAAACCTCTAGGATTTGACTGGACATTATGATGTTCTTATTTCTGAGATATCTAGATTAGATCTAGATTAACAATAATTGTTTCTGAGATTGTTTGCACAAAAAGTAAACTAGACGTAGTCTTGTTCATCTCTCATTCATAATCATTTGATTTGAGATTGAGTTAGTAAGTCAAAAGACGCTTGGATACAATTTAACAAGACGGTGCAACTTGGTAAAAGCACTATTTCCTCTCTGCAGTGTCGTCATACTGTAGATTCTAGATCTACCAAAAATATTATCTTTAAGTTAAGCCTAGAGAACGTAACATGCTGGTCTACGTTCACTAGATGGTCTATAAATAAGTCTAATGTTCAGTGCTTCCAAGCGCGGCATCGAATCCCGTCCCGGAAGGGTTTTTTTTCTTTTCCTGAGCCTAAAATTATTTTTTAAATAATAATAATTAGACTCACAAACCGAGGAAAGCCACTTTTGAACTTTAACCAAGCCTAAATTAGTAAAAGGAAAAGTATAGGCTATACTATACTAAGGCCTGGATCTAGATCTACTTTGTACAGTGCTCCTCTTGGGGACAAAACTAGAATGTGCATGCTCCACCACTACATTAAAAAAACTAACAAAACAATAAGTTATAATTATGGGAAAAATTTGTTGGTCTGTCAAAAAGAGGACAACAACAACAACAACAAAATAACTTCCAGGACCGGGATCAAACCCAGGCTCATAAAATAATGGTTTGGCTTCAAACGAAGTCGCAATGTCACTTCGGCCATCAGAACTTCCAACAACGAAAGGTAGATGTTAAGCTTCAGCCTAGGCTAACACACAGAGTTTTATTTAGCACTGGCGCTAATCGCAACGCGTCGTTTTATTTAGCACTGGCGCTAATGGCAACGCGGCGTTGCGAATAGGCACTTCCTAAAAATAAAGCTGTCAAAGTGTCATGTGAATTTTCTACTGAAAAACATAAGATCTTCTTCTGTCTAACATATTATATATATAAGCAGAAAACAATGGTTTCCAGGGAAAAAGTTGTCGAGTTTTTATCAAAGAGAAAGAATTGGTGGGTAGAAATTCTGGGCACTCTTCGGTAGAAGTGGTCCAGGCCTAACTCCATACAGACATATTTACTTTAGATATAGGGATCTAGAATCTATAAAAATTTAGGCCTAGGCCTACACAATTGGAAACAAAAACGGAAGTCGAGTAAAAAAAAAACTGAACTGAGTTGCCTGCCAAACGTTTGAGACTGGATGTAGATCTATTTTCGGCACTATTCTGAATTGTAACGGATTTTTTTAGTGTGTTGAGAACAATTTTGGCACTAAAAACTCCGTTATTTAGTGAATTTAGGCGGGGGGGGGGGGGGGGGGGGATTGTGATGTCTATGAAGTTAGGCCGGGACCACTTCTCCGGAAGAGTGCCAAATTCTGGAACTTGCTGCCAATCAGCACTGCAGGTTTCCAATCGTCTTTTGTAGGGATTGCAAAACATACAGAAATATTGCAACCCAATTGCCCCAAAATTTAGTAGCCAGTGAGAAGATAGATTGATCTTCACACTGGAGGATTATATAAATGTTTGCGAATTTTGAAAAAAAAACAAGGAAGTTTCAAAATAGATACTTGTAACTTTGTAGAGATGGGGGGTTTTTTAAGTGCACCTTTGGACACCATGCGGAATACACACTTACACTTTATTTGCAGGATAAAGTTATATAGTGTATATTTTAATAGAAACATTTGTGTCATGAGGCGGTGGAATCAGGCGCTCATCAATTTTTGTGCGTGATGTGGAGTGGAGTTATTGGTATCATCTTAAAACTTGTTCATTTATCTTGCTTTTGATGCAAAAAATACACAAGAGAAAATGGCCATCAAAGTTTGATAACTTTAATAGCCAAAGACTCCTTAAAAACTGAAAAATTACACATTTTGAGCTTTTAATCAAAGTTTTTCAATAATTCACATATGGAAATGTGTTTTTATTTGAACATTAAAAGGGTTGAACTAAAAACCAAAAATTTGATTAAAATTGTGAAACTGGTGGGAAAATGCCTGTTTCTTAAATTTCGTTATTTTGACGAGAGGCTGATTTCACCACAATGCCTCACATTTTGTGAAATTCCATGTTGAACTATATCTCATTTTAGAAAAATTATAAAGATGACGTTTCCATTTTTCACTTGGCCAGACTGCCAGCAAGATAGAGAAACAGCTCTAAACGTATCAAAATGAATGCTTGCTGCTAAATTTGCTGTGACCTCATGGCTGCGCAAAGCATAGCTGCTGATTATAGACACGTTTTTTTTAATCAACCTCATATAAAGGAAAGCTTACTTCTCATGGACTAGGACATAATGAAGGTTTCTAGTTTGTCCTCACAAATAATTTAGGCGTAATTTCATTTTTTTTGGTGAATTTAGAGCTGATCAAATTCTAGGTAACTGCATCCACCGTGCATTTACGGTGATTTTGGCAAACTCAGAGTGAAATCTACATCGAGGTAGATTTCCATAGATTTATGCGTGATGTTATTTTACTTCTTCATAATGCTAAGATCTAACCCATTATATTATATTTATGTAATGTTATTTTAGTACATACACACATCATATACTGCAAATGCAAGATTATAGTTTTAAGGTCCATTTTCATGGTTTGGAAGGGAGTACTTAAGTTCCCCCAGACTCTTGTTATAATAACATTAATTAATTAATAAATTGATGTTATGACTCACCATATAACTAAAAGTATACTATTATGTGCATTAGTTAATAATCAAGAGAACATAAATTAACAACTTAAAATTTTTTTAAACATTTTCTGATTTTTTTCCCCCCTTAAATCTGGATCGAGTTCTTCTCAAAATTAATAAAACAGCCGCCGACCAGATGTGTTGTTTGTCTCGCAAACCTTTGACCTTGACAACACAGTTACGAGGCTCAAAGAACAACTTTAAATTAAACTTTAAAAAGCATCATCAGTGCCTTTCATCCCTGGCAGGGTATAGAGGCTTCATACAAGCTTCTTCCATTTATCTCTGTCCTGGGCCATGCTTCCTAGCTCGTTCCAAGTGAGCTTTATCTCTCTCATGTCCCTTTCCACACATCTCCTCCATGTTTCTCGTGGCCTACCCCTGCCTCGTGCTCCCTACGGGTTCCATTGCAGTGACTGTCTTGTGATGTTTCCGCTGGGCTTTCTGAAGGTGTATCCCATCCAATGAATAAATACAGCTGGATTAGTCCACAAATGCTTACTTCCCTTACATTTCTGATTTAACAGGGATCTGATATAACAGGACATTTTCTCTGGTCCCACCAGCCCTGCTATGTCAGGTTTCCACTGTATCCACTTGTTATTTCAATTGCTGATTTTGAAGCACCGGGTTGGAGTAGGGAAGATTTACTGTTTGACATTCCTGTATGTGTGGAGCCTCCCATACTTTACTGTGTCAATGTATTTGTGTGCACTACTCACCATGAGAAAGGGAACAAGCTGACCTTAATTTTGATACATGATGCAAAGTGAAGGAATTGATCTTTATAAGTCGCAGAAATTATCGTCAATGATAATGCTAGAAATTTCAAGGAGTGACTTTGTAGCTTTGTTTTGCTCATGAAGTGCAAGAGTGTGCTGTTAGAAATGTACAAAACCTCACTTTTAACTGTTTTAATAATTTATGTGCATAATTTACTGCTTGAAAAAAAGTCACTAGATGACGTAAAATTTGATGCAGTGTGGCGAGGTTTATTTTAAGGAATGAGTCGAAGAAACTTTCTGCAATGTAGGCTCTGGCAGCAAATGTTCTCTCGCAATTTTCTTTAGACGTAAGATGGCTTGTGTCAAAAAACATCTTTAAAAAAACAAACATTTTTAGTGTACACACAAAGCCTTTAAAATAACTTTTAATGGTACTCAACTTTGAGAAAAAAAAATTTGGTCTGTAATTCAGTTTGAGCAAATGCGTCTTGCAGTGCCTTTCTCCAGGCACACTTAATAAAAACGTGTGCCCATTAAATGTATTATTTGCAAACAATTTTATCTTGTATTGAGATTGCAACTTTCTTTCATTTTCTATTTTGTTGCCTAAAAAAATGCCGAATTGCCGATTTTCAGCTTATTCCACAGATCCTGTAAAAATTATCCAGTATTCATGTTGTTTCCATTTCCTCTTCTTCATAGACAATTTTCCAACATGTACACAGCCATGACTTTTTTCGCTTTTTGACCAATTTTTGAAAAGTGAAAAGCAATTTGCTTGTGGAATATTGATCTTTATTATTCTGTGTTGTTTATTGGTTAGTAGCTCCACCTATCTTTTAAAAAGCTGAGACATTGCTACTTCTTGTCTTATTACACTTAACCACCAAGTTCCTGGATCGATAACAACAACAGCCACCAAGTTCGAATGAAAGGTTCCAAACTGGAAAAATTACCTCAGTGTAGTGTCTGACTTTGGAGAAACAAAATTGCTTTGAATTGGCCATTGCTTTTTTAATGGAGGCCGCCATTGTCATATAACGTTGCATTATTTTTTATTTATTTTTTTTGGGTGGGTGGGGTAACTTTTTAATAAATATTGTATACCGGTAATCTCTTCATCTTATAGGTTATGGGGAGCATTCTGCGTGATTACCTTCAACACCATTGTGCTTCTTCTCACTGTGTCTCATCTCCGTGCGGTGCTCTCTGACCCCGGTATTGTGCCCATTCCAAAAACCAGCATGGACTTTTCTGACATCCACTCGGAAAATTCTAAGAGGAAAACGGTTGGTGGTTTATAAGCTCACTTTCATGACGTCTTCGATGGAATTGTTTTTTCATCACTCTTTTTTCTCACTATGTATGTCTGTCGGTTTGGTATTGTGACTCCTTGTCTCTCTCTCTCTCTCTCTCTCTCCTTGTCTCTCTCTCTCTCTCTCTCTCTCTCTCTCTCTCTCTCTCTCTCTCTCCCTCTCTCCCTCCCTCTCTCTCTCTCTCTCTCTCTCTCTCTCTCTCTCTCTCTCTCTCTCTCTCTCTCTCTCTCTCTTATATTATATATATATATATACAAGTTATGTTTAGATATGTGGCTACTGATGATTGAAGGGTCATATTTAATGAATTACAGGTTTTCTATCATTAGATAACATCATGTCTTATTTTGTTTCCATTGTTTCAGTAAGCAGTAGGGCTCAGATTAAATGGGTAATTTGATACCCGGGTAATACCCGCGTAATGAAAAAAATACCAGAGTACCCGTCGGGTACCGGGCATTTCAATTATTTTTTTACTTTTTATTTATTTTTTAGGGCGGGAGGGGGGGGGGGGTGATTACTTCAATGTTATTTTCAAATTTAACACAAATTGGACACAACAAAGTAAGCTTATACAAAAATGGGGAATTCAAGACAATGGATCTATCGGAACTCTCAATGAAGTCAACGACTTAATGACATAAACAAAAAGCAAGGAAGACAGACGAAACATATTACATGTGCTGGACTGGGAAAGAGGGGGCCAATCATTTCAATTTTTTTTTTTTAAACAAAAGTTTATCCACAAGTTTTTCGCCAAGGTAGGTACTCTTTAATGAAATCAATTCACCAGCCTTGGAGAACAGACAGCCGTTCTGACGTCACAGATGTTGCTGGGACAGCCAAAATTTTTTTGGCTTCCTGGTTGAGTTCCGGAAAGGCTTTTTCATATCAACTCCACCAGGTCAATGGATTGTTCTCTTCCCTTCTGGCCAGGGGCATCTCAAAGTACCGATTCAGTTGGACTATGGCACTTGTTTGAGGCTGAAACTTTAACCTAGTCTTCTGCTTGAACGTCGAAGGCTTGCACAATTACTTCTTTTTTTTTTTTTTGCAGGATGTTCTGTTTCAGCTGCAGAAACCGATGATGAGCCTGGTGTTTGACCAGGTCTCTCTCCTTGTTTGTCTCTAATCACTGAAAGAAGACGAGTTTCTATTTTTTTCGTTGCGACTTCACTGAAGGTCGAGGATAGTTGATGCTGCCACAAAATACATGTCCTCGAGCTGTGTGAAGCACTTGCGAAGCTCACTCTGTAAAAGATCTGCGAGTGGCCTATATTGATCGCGTACTGTATCGACTAAGAGAGCTCAGTATCGATAAGTACTCAGTACTTATTGAAGTTCGAACGAAGGGGCGTAATTTAAGTGCATTTGCCAAGGATTTAACTAAGGGGAGCAGAAAATGCGGGTACCCGACACCAATACCCGGGTAGGCGGTTTTGAGCTCTTTACCCGAGTAAATACCCGGGTACTTGCCCAGCCCTACTATGCAGCTTCCTGATCAGGTTCTAGAGACATCCAAAGCTTTGTCACTATTCTATGAACAGTTTGATAGTAAACATTTCCATGTTTCAGAATGACGGCTGGACTGTCTGTATGAAGTGTGAGACTTACCGACCACCCAGGGCCCACCATTGTCGCATATGTCGCCGTTGTGTGCGGCGGATGGACCACCATTGTCCCTGGTGGGTACACAGTTTCTCACACACTCTATGGGGAGAGAGATGGTGGTATAGGAAGTAATAATAGTATCTTGAGAAGTTTAAATACTCTGTAGCTTTATGCTTTTAGGTTATCCTTCTATGAAGATGACTTTTAAAAGAACTTTAGTAGACTGCTGGAAGCAGCTTTAAGCACATCGTTTTACTGTCTATTAACTCACTTGAGCCTATTCATGTTTTTATGGGAAGCCCGGCTGGCCCAGTGGCCTAATCCTGTGTATTTACGGGATGCTCTTTATCTATAGATATCTCCGTTGTTTTTCGGTTACAAGCTTTTGGAAGCGGCGAGCCAACTGTTGACTCATTTGCTTTGTTTTGTTTAAAATTTGGTGAAGTTATGTGATGGAACAAGTCAGTCACCCATGCATTATGATATAGATGATTTTATCATAAATTAGATCCCAAAAAAAAAAGAATGCGTAACCCCCAGACATTGCCATTTCAAAATATTGATAAAGTAAAAACTATGTGGACCAATTAGATGCAGTTTTCTTTTTCTTTGAAAACAATTCTTTCTTTCTCTTGTTGCATTTTAAAAAATTATGATCGCTTTCACCGTCTTTTTGTGGTTAACGCTTCAATATACCCCAAAAGTGTCAGGCTACAATGGTTGTTGAGTGAAAAATAGCTCAGGTTCAAATGAGTTAATGTTCAGAAATCCTGACAGTACAGTCAAAATTGTTTTAGTAGGCCATCCATTGTCGAGGAGAAATGCTGTTGTTTTAGACAGATGGACATCTTGGGTAGTGTCTTTATAATATTGAAAATTTCTGTATTGAAACAGGGAGAGACATTCAGTCTTCATGCAATTTTTCAAAGCTTCTTTGTTTTTTTTTATATTCCAATCACATTGTTTCATGTACTTTGAAGTCTGCTGAAACCAAAATCTGTGGGAACCGCTCGATTTTCTTCGGATTAGCCTGATTTTCAGTTCAGAGAGGTTGCTCATATAAAAAGAAAAAAATTTGAGGATTTTATTTGGTTTCCATTTACCACTATTTTCAGATGAAAAGTGTTTTGTGGAAGTGGATTCTACTGTGCATTGTTTCCACTCTAGAAAAGTGCCTCTGTGCCAAGATCGGGAAGGGGGGGGAGGGGGGAGTTAATTTGGTTTCCTGTTGAACTTTTCTGTTGACGTATCAGTAACAACATCAACATGGAACTTTCCTCAGGATCAACAACTGTGTAGGAGAGTTCAACCAGAAATTCTTCATACAGTTCCTGTTCTATGTGGGTAAGAAAAGCTGTCAGGGTCTTTGTTCTCATTTGTTTCTTATATATTAAATCACCTCCTGATAAGACGTTTTGAGAAATGACACTTTACTAAGATGTTTGTACACTTTCTATCATGTTTTTCTATGGGTGCTTTTTAGCTGTATTTTTTGTTTTTTGCTTGCATAGATCATCAGATAGCCATTCAAATGTTGCAAGCCAGGAAAGAAATGCTTTCCAGAAGAGAAAAAAAGCCTTTTCTTTCCTTTCCATTTTTGCAAACATTTGTAGCTCAGTCAGTGTGACAGAAAACAATACCTAAGATGAATCATTGTAACTACAAAATACGAAGATCTTTACTAGGTATCTATACTATACTTCATTGTTATAATGATTATTCTTACAAAGTTATCAGACATCCCTAGACTACTTACATCTAGTAGTTTTTACACTACATGTAAAAAGTAAGTCAAGAAGATGTTGGGCTTAAAGCAGATAGTGAAACTGAAAGTAGGGAGTCTTATATCTAAACTACTTCTGTATTTTGGAAATCTTCATTTTTGGATAGCAAAAATTCAACAAAAGCTTCATGCAAAAATGTTATTGCACTTTAGATCGTATTAGATCGTTGTCTTGTAAAAAAAAAAGAAGTAAAATCTTGGTCCTAATAATCTTGGGGACCAGGGCTGAGTGAGTGACTGTTTTCTCTCTCTCTCCTTTCCAACAGGTCTGGCCAGTGCATTTGCCATCACTATGGTCATTGTCTCCTGGATGATGGAGCCCAAAGCTCACAAGGAGGTCAAGCACATCAAACTGTAGGTTGCTATGGAAACCAGTGGGATTCAGGGGAGGGGGTGATAAACCTGTTCGATATGCTGGCTTAGGGGTCCTGTGCTGGTCCCAAGCCAGTTTTGATGTGATCGTATGATGTTTAAAATTTGTCTGATGAAAAAATAGTTATTCAGTCTTTGTCATATGTGCGAGGATAACACTATTTTTATGTCCGTCTAAAGACTTTTCGTGTTCAAGGATAGAAGTATGTTGGCATGAGTGTGTGTGCATATGTATTTACCATGCAGCAGAAAAAAATTTCTCTTTGTGGGGATCAATAAAATGTCTTACACAGTATATATGTTGCCTCATCAGCCAAAAAGAAAAGTTAAGGAAATTTATGTCTGTAAGCGTTATACAGATAGAGATTCTAAAATTTGTTAAATCCATCTTGATGGATGTTCATCTTATGTTGCACACATATAGGTGACAAAGGAGAGAATAGATTAGGACAGTTTCATCTTTTCTTGATCCTCTGGTTGACCTGGAAAATAAGAAAATGTCTGCAATCTTCCAAATGATTAACTCACTGGGGACTGGGTTTTTTTCGGGTCTACATATGCTGAAGACTGGCATTTTTGGGAGTATTTCAATATTTCAAACAACACCGCTCCCAAAGACATACAACCACCATTTTTACCCATATAACAGATCTAAACATGCCAAATAGGATGCAAAAAAGCAGAAAGGCAATATCTTTTATAGTTTTTTATAAATGACTTTTTGAAAATGTGCTAAAATTTGTTGCTCGCCAAAAATTTTTGATGTAATGTCTTGTTTCACCCAACAAAACGCACAAAAAATCAACCTCGAGTGTGTCTTTAATTGTGTTTTGTGTTTCAAAATGAATAAAAAGTCTAAACTCGTGAATAGGCAGGTAATTGATATGGTAATCCTTATGTATTAGCTGTATAATCCACTTCAGTGTGAAAAAAACAGGGCTCCAAACAAAGCGGAATTTTGCATTTGAAAGCCTAGTCTAGATCTAGAGCGTTCGCTATAAGAATCAGTGTTTTGATGCTCATTTACATTGAATCAGGATCCCCATGGTCTAAAATATCATAATCCGAATTTTCTGAACCGTCAAAGTCGTCAAACACTTGAAAAATGTTTGCTTTTCGTGGTGCCCAGTGGGTGGTTAGTGGGTGCTCTGGTATGGTTTGCTCCTTCTTTCCTATCAAACATCTATGGTCCTGATCTCTCCTCCTTTTTTTGTGTTTGTTACTCTCTTGTAACTCCTAATCTTCGACTTCATTGTGTTGCAAGTTCCGTAAAACTTACTAAATCTAAACGTGGTGCCATCGTACTGAGAAAGTGTTGCGAGAACAGACACCAGTCAGAGAAATGAAGGTAGGGCCCCAGTGTGACTAACTTTCCTTCTGGGTCGACAACTCTAAAAGTTTCTGTCCCCACAGAATTATGCAAATTTAGATGGCCAAATATGCAAGAAAATACAAAATTATGCTAGTTACCGTAAAGCCATTCACGACATGTTTGGCACTTTTTCAACAAGAATTTTCATGTTTTATGTACAGAAGAATTGAAAACAGAACATATCAGTATCAGTAACTTTTTGTGTATTTGGAAAGAATACAATACACATCAGTCAGAAAGCCCCCAAAAAATATAATCTCTGTAACTTTCAGCTGTATAGAGGAAAGAAATATGTTGTTTCTTTTAAATATTTTTTTTTAAAACACTGTCAAACATGAAACATCAGCAGACGAAAGAACAACTTTTGATGAATTGAAAAATTGAACAGGCTCAAGGAACAAAATCCCTAACTCTAAACCCTAAACCCCCTAAACACCCAAGATCTTTTAACTAGGGAAATAACCAACTTGTCACTTAAAAGAGAGTTATTACTTCCCTTTAGTTACATGGTGAGGAGTTCAGTAAAATTGTTTTGTGAAAATTGCAAAAAATCATGAAAAAACGCGGGGAATCCAAAATTGTTCAAATGTTGCTGAATTATGTGAAAAAACGCGGCTGCGGCATAATCCGACGGGGACAGGCCGATTCCAGTGAAACTTCGCACGAAGCAAAACGAAGGTCGGCTGCATGGTAAGAGACGATTCCCGCTGCGTTTGCGCACATACTTTACCAAGGAGAAAACGCGAAACTTGTACTCATAGGGGGTGCGTGAACCACCTCTCTTGAAAATATTGGTGCTCGCATATGCTGCGTGAAACGTCTCCAGTGAGTTAAACAAAATGTTCTAAAGTTTGTGACTTAGTTTCCATTCAGTCAGCATCACACTTTCTATTTAAGTAGGATGTACTAAACAATATTATGAAATCATGCCACAATTTAGAATTTTGGTCAGTAGCTTACCCCTTCCAAATTTTACAATAATATAAGAATATAAGAGATACAAATGAAATTCTAGCTGCACTGAAATTTTTTTAAATTGTAAAGTTAGTCACTGAAATTCTGGCTTTGTCCGTACATAATAATTGTAGGTCCGTAAATGGCAAAGTCATAATATTTTGAAGACAAAAAGGCCTGATTTTTTTTAAATCAGGTCCCCTTGATTTTCTGCAAATGTCACATACTGATAGCCCAAAAATTGCTTTGGTTTTGTGGGGTAAAGGAAGACATATTATGGTTGTTATCACTTTTTCTCATTCTTACCTCTTCCCTCTCCCAGAGTTCACTCAGTCGTTCTGGTGATAGAGAGTATTCTTTTTGGCCTGTTCGTCATCGCCATCGGATGTGACCAGGTGAGGAGAGGACAAACGTTTGTTTTTTTATTTACTCAAGGTTCAATCGCTGAAAGGTTGGCAGGTCTGGGTACAGAAAGAGTTGATATAACACATAGGCTCTGTCACTAATACGTGTACTTCAGTATACACATCAATAATTGATAAACATAAACGTGTATGTTACAGCTTTCTTTGTGGCTTGTTGCTGCAGTTTACCTATATTCTTTTGCTTTCCATTGGGAATAAAGTGGGTGCGTTGTGTATTTTGTCAAAGTGTGCTTCAGATTTACCTTGTCATCCTATTCTATTTCTCTAGGAAAATGTTCTGTTTATGTGGCGTCGGGAGTCCAATGGTTAGGCTACCGGACTTGTAATTGTAATCGTGAGTTTGCGGGTTAGGGGTTCAAGCCTTAGGCCCGACTTTGTGTCCTTGGGAAAGACACTTTACAAGAATTTTACTCACTTCACCAGGTGGTCATAGACAACGAAAGATCTTGTCAGTATGTCAGTGTTTTAGCGCCTATAAAATGACAGATTATTTATGTTCGTTTCTATGGGTTTTTTTTACCATAATGCTATCATTCTGTGTCTATGCAGGTAGTTGGAGGGCGCTATTGGTAGGTCCTACTTCTTTACTTTCTCTCTGCTGTTTCTGTCTGTTTTGTCTTACTTTTCCACGGCACTAAGAAACCATTAATATGTCGATATACTTCTCTTTACTCAAACAAACAGGAGTTTCTGTACTGACATTTGAGCAATTGTAATAGTATACAATGAATACTTTGATATGACTGTTTTCGCATTTCTAAGATAAAGTGTTCATTTCCTCTTAAAACAACTGGGAAGAGATGGAGAGATTTAAGAGCTTTAGCAGTGGCATTATTTCGGCTATTTTTCACTTCAGATGTCGGCCATTTTAAACGACGAAACTGCCGTGGAGCATGTGAAGAAGGAAGGACCGCATCGAGTCAAAAAGTCACGCTACCACTTGCTGCAGGAGGTATTTGGCCGAGGTGAGAACAGTAATTGAATTGAAATGTATGTTGTCGTGGTCATCAAGTAACAAGTTATACTTTTTTTTCTTTTGTATCTTCTCCCTTTGCCTCTGGAGCACTTGAATTAATCTTAACTCACTGACTACTGGCCCCTTTCACCAGTCACTAGCGCTGAATACTGGCATTTTTGGAGGTATTTCAAAACACCACCACAACTCTCAGAATTACCCTATTATTTTTTTTTGGACACAGTAAAGGTACATTTAAGCTTAATCTCATACAAAAAATTTAAGTTGTCTTAGTCTAATACTTTAATTTTTATGATTTTATCAAATTTGGCAAGAATTTGATTTTTTTTTTAATTCCAGAGAAGTGACAGACAGAAAGAAATTCACAACAACAAAAATAAAAGTTCAAAGTGTTCTATTTTGATTTGTTTGCATGTGTGAGTGGTTGGTGAAAATATAAAAGCTTGGCTGTGCGTAGATTCAGACCCGTACACTTAACTACATGAGACAAAAGTAGAGCAACAACACCAGTACTAGTGCTAGATCTAGCCCTAAAACTACGACTTTGGTCGTTTTCGGGTACATATCCAGGGTCCTAACTTGTTGTGGACACATGGCCACTTTTCACCACAAGTATCGAGATTTACTCGGGGCACTGGGTTCCCGTGCAGAGAAGCACAGGGATCTCGCGCTGTGGTAGTTCACGGGAAGTATATATAATCAGACACTCACGGCCTTTGGTGGGACAGTCGGACGATAGAGATAGGAAGGGACAGAGCCAAGGTCTACACACTTTGCAGGAAATCTACTATGCACTACGCTTGCTGAAATAAAATATCAAGGACTTTACGGTGAGAGTTACGCTTTTGTTATTCGAATTGTTGTTTAAAATGTGGTAGTGCTGTGCTCCGCAACATAACTATCAGACACATCATATTCTGAGTCCCTAGAACTAGTAAAACGGATAGAAGAATCGAAAACAGCAAAATTATGTGATTCTTGCTCATGCAACTTCTTAGACCGTTACTTTGACGCGACTGTAAAATTACTATCAGCTGTAAAGCAAAAACATAGTGTGAGTTCCGGTCAGGTCAACCCCAGTTGAGATGACTGTCCTTCACCTTCAATTACTTAAAAAGTTACCTCGCAACTTCTGCCAAACTCGGCACGAAATGAAACAAGTGGCAAAACTAGCACTGGAGTCCGTTCCCGTAAATGTGACGGGAGCTCAAGATACGGAACAAAACCACAAAGTCCGCCCCGTCGGGGGTACGGGATCCGTACCTGCGAACTGGCCGCCTGCCCGTACCTGTGACGGGAACTGTAGTCAGTGAGTTAATGGGTATATGAGCGCTTGTCCACAAACGCACACACACGTGCAGACCCATCCACACTCACACACACAAACACAAATGCACGCATACACACTCACACACACACACATATGCCCATCCAAACACACTATTTTAAAGACGCACAACTCACAACTCTGCTCTCTTTCCCAAGATGAAAATGGTACCAGCCTAACTAAGACGATGAAAAATGTTGTCAATATGTTAGTGTTTGAACATCTTTTAAAAGACTGTTTAAACTGAATTTTTTTCAAGGAAGATAAAAATGTTTCAAAATGAAATAGTCTGTCTAGGTAATGTTAAATGTGAATGCTAATTATAGCAAGTACTTTCGGGTAAGATTAGAGATGCAGTTTTATGTTATTTTAATTTAAAGCTGTCTTATTACTTTTGTGGAGTTCTGTAACGTTTTTATCTCAGTTCTGACTGACGTAATCCAATTTAAAGATATAAGTGTGGGTGGTTGGCGGGTGCTCTGGTGTAGTTTGCTCCTTCTTTCCTACCAATCATCTATCGTCACTCTCTCCTCCTTCTTTTTTGTGTATGCTACTCTCTTGTAACACATCTATTCTTCGGCACTTATATAACCTTATTGTGTTGCAAGTGCCGTAAAACTCTTACTAAAACTAAAAGATATATGTAAAAAATCTGTAGAGAAATTGACGCTCATGGTACCCTACTCCTTCCTGTTTTCTGTCTTCTTGATCAGCTCGGTTTTTCTCTTTGTTTTATTCGTTGTAAAGTTGTTCAGGCCATATGGGTTTTTTTTGTTTTTTTGTGGGTTTTTTATAGTAGAGGGCTTTACGGCGCTCGCAACTGCATAAGGTCGTATGAGCGCCAGGCCATATGTTTAGGTTGTTCTTTTTCTTCCTCTGCTCTACTTTCCCTCCGTCTTTCAACACAGCAGCAGTTTCTCTTGTCCTTTTGATCTATTTATGTGGCCAAAGAATCTCAGTTGTCTTTTTCTGATGGATCTGATTATAGATCTGTCGCAGCCTGCCATTTTGATCGCTTCCCTGTTGTTTTTTTTCCTCTCTGTCAATGAGATTCTGAGTATTTTCCTTAAATGCTACATTTCAACAACCTCGAGTCTTCTCTACATGTCTCCCCCGCCTCCCCCGCCTCCTCAGGGCAGTGCCACTAACTGAAGTGTCTTTAGGCCATTCCCAAAGGGGAGAATACTAACACGTTCTCATGCACAGTAGAATTATAAATGGGCTGATTTATCAGTGTCATGCTCATACTGTTCTGGAGCAACGTAGGGGGAACTGCTACTGCTTTTTCTTTCCTTATCCTTACTGTTGTCATTTTCCCTCTACTTCTTTTGTATATTTGTCACTCTCTTGTGAACTGCTATTTCTGGGGTGTCTTGATAGACGAAGCAGACTTTGTACTGTTGAGACAAGAGAGGTGAGCAAAGTAAGCCTGATTCCCCATTTGGACTACTCTGTTGACATCCACCCCTTGGCGCTCATAAAACCTTACAAAAACTTAAAAACTCTCTCCATGTCCTTTTTAGAGTCGAGCTCTCACGTCCATACAAACAGATTGACCACACATACGCTTTCAGGGTTCTTATTTTTGTGTAGACTGTTTCATTTCTGTTTGAGAGGACATTTTGGCCTTGCTTAAGAAGAAGCATTAACTTTGTAACACACCTGTTGTTTTCATCAGATCACCCGTTGCTGTGGTTATGGCCCTTCCAGATTGGCCGGCAGCGAGCTCCCCCAGCTGAGTCAACGCTGTACAACGTGTGACCCTATGATCTCGGGAGGAAGTTCAGCTGTATTGTGTGTCTGTATTGTGTGAGTGTGTGTGCCTGTATGTGTTTGTGTGTGTGTGTGTGTGCGCGTGTATGTCGAGGTTATTTTTGTTCTGCCTCTATGCTGTTTGTTCTGTATGACCATTTCCTCTGTTCAGCTGTGGATGTTCAAAACTGCAGCTAAGAACAAAAGTCGAAAACATCCACATGTTTTAACATGGCATTAGTTAGGTGGAATGGCACACGCTCAAAGATTAACAACAGCAACAACAACATCGGTGGATGTTGTAACATTTCTGTGTTCTTTATGTGAGTTTGACACACAGATCATTAGTTCTTTGTGCAGTGGATGGTTGGAGGGTGACGCTGGTTAGTCCTACGTCTTTTTTTCTTTCCGTTGTTTCTGTCTGTCTGGCTAGCTGGCTTTCCTTCCCCCCCACCCCCTCATGAAATGACACTGTGATGTGGAAACACATCTCTTTACGCAAACAAACAATTTGTGCAGTGGGTGCTCTTGGCCTACTTGTTGTTGGTTTCTGTACCTCAGGGGGACTCAAATTCAAACTACCCAGGGTTCCTTGGAGGTAGTGGCAGGGGGAGCCTTGGCTGCATCCAGTGTTCCAAAATGAAACAATTAATATTGTTCCAAAATGAAAAAATTAATATTGTTTCAAGTATTTTTTTAAAAAGTACAACTGATCTAGTCTTTTCAATTTTTATTTGTAGCTGTTCAGAACCTGGACAGTTCTTCTGAACATAGGCTTCTCTTACCTACCCTTTTCTACCAGAGATCTGGCTCATCCACATTTGGTGTGAAAGAAAAACTTAAAGGCTGAACTAACACTAAACTTTGATGACAAGTAGGTGCCACAAAATATCCCCCTGTGGGTCTCAATTTGCCAATGGGCTGTGGGTTTCAGACGCCTGATGTACAGAGAATGTGTGTGAATTTGTCCTTTATCCTCTTCTTTCTGTGTTTATGCTTGTGTGTGTATGCTTTTATGTGTGTTTGTATTTATGTTTGTGTATTTGTATGTGAATGTGTTGGTGTGTGTGTTTATAAATGTTTGTGTTTGTATGCGGATGTGTAGTTGTGTGTGTGAGAGAGAGAGAGAGACACACACACACACACATTTCTTTCTTTGACAATTCTTTGTTCACTCAAAATGTTGCCCAGAGAGGTTGGGAGTTCAGCAGTGATTTTGTACAGTATTTGATTATTATACTGATAAAATATTGAGCCGCACTCGTGCATAACGCTTGTGTTCTGTGTTCAAAGTACCTCAAACATATCTGCATATGGGTTCTTCAGCTTTTGCATTACCTGGTGCCAGTATATTATCGCTATGTGTTTATCAAGTGTGACTTGGTGCAGTTGGGAGGCGGAGGTGGGTGGTAGGTGGGTGCTCTGGTGTTTTTTTCCCCCTTCTTTCCTATCAAACATCTATCCTCCTTATCTCTCCTGCTTCTTTTCTGTGTTTGGAATTCTCTTACAACACCTCTAATTTTCAGCAGGTATGTGTGTTGTTGCACCATGAAATCAGGCCCTCTTCAAAATAATGAAACTCAAGAAATCTACATTTTTCCACGTGTCAGGCAATATTTATCCATTTTTTTGTTCAGCTCTACATTTTTTGTGTCCATTTAAAAATACATTTCTGTGTGGATTAAAAAAATTTTTAATGTTGAAGGAAGACACCAGAAAAAAAGTAAATTTGCCATTTCCAAGGACAGTCGAGCTTTTGAAGTCACAGAATTTTGTGGGCCATTTTCTCTCAAATTTTACCTCTTACACCAGGTGACCCCAACCTCCATCTATCACAAATATCTCAACTTCTATTCAAGTTAGACTGGTATTTTTCTCACTAAAGCGAGACAAATAAACAAGTCTTAAGATGGTATAAATGATTTCATATGGCCAAAAATTTACGAGTGCCTGATGCCACAGTGTCGTGGAACGTAATTGTGTTGCAAGCGCTGTAAAACGCTCACTAAAACAAAAAGGAAGGTAGAGACAACTATGGACTAAAATGGTTAAGTCGTGAACAGCACTAAGCAGAGCGGCTGGCAACCTTAGTGAGTGGAAGAACATTGCATATCAACCTCAAAGGCCTCCAAGACAGAGATGACCCCTACAACTAACCTACCAACTTAGTGCAGTAGTGCAAGATACAAAGACCTGCTTACCTTCCTAATTTTTTCAGGGAATTCCTGAATTCAGACTGCATTTCTCCTGCGTTCCAATAGCGACTTTATGTATTGGATAAATTCAGCCAGAGGAATAACTTTTCTTACATTGGCTAAATTTAGATAGGCCGCTGTAAATGAATAAAACCACTCTTTGTGTTGCAAGTGTCTTTAAACTCTTACTGAATCATAGCCTCGAATGAACACAGCAAATGGAAATGTGAGTTTCCCGGATGTGATGCTACTTTGACTTTGACGATAATGGTGGGGTTCTTTGTTGGTATGAAGTCTGCTTCTTTGTCCTTCCTTTTCCTATATCATTGTGTTGGCAAACAATGTCTTTTTGGCCATAATCAGCCGAATGATACAAATAGCTTTCAACATTTCCAACTGTTTGGAGAGGTTTTGCCACATCAATTTGGGAACAAGTCAAAGCTTGAGGATGTTTGACATACAAACATGATATCTGCTCACATTTTCCACAATTCTGTCTTTGAAAAGTGTGGTTTTTTTAACTGAAGTTCAATCGTTGAAAAGTTGGCAGGTCTGGGTACGGAAAGAGTTGATATAACACATACACTCACTGTCACTAATATGTGTACTTCTGTACTCATCAATGATTTATAAACATAAAGGTAAGTTACAGCTTTCTTTGTGTGCTTGCTGCTGCAGTTTATCTGTATTCTTTTGCTTTCCATTGGGAGTAAAGTGCGTGCGTTGTAGTGTTATGTTAAAGTTATTTCTTTGTCTCAGTCATGTCCCAAAATACCTGTTTATAGTTGACTTGGATATTGATAATTGTGGGAGTAAAGTTGTCTCTCTCTTTGATTTTTCTTTCGTAGAATCTATATAAGATTTGTTTTACTGTTGCTGAATTTTTTATTTGAATGCTTTAAAAAACGTCATGTTATTTTCTCTTGCTGCCTACAACAAATATAGATTGGTCTTTGAACTGTACGTATCTCTTATTTTTATGTTCAAGCAGAAATGTAAATTATACGTTAAGGTGCACCACAGCAGTAGCTGACAGCCAGAAAAAGTCGATTTTGGTATCTAAAACCAATTTTTCAATTTTGGACTATTTTAGTAGAGCAACATTTGCTTTATCGATTGTAAATATTTTCAAGTGTCTAAAACATCTATAAAGTGCTCACATATGCCATATTTGTGAACATTTTGTTGAAATAGACCAGTGTGAAATCTTTTTTTTTTTCAGTTTTCTCAAAACTATGATTTTCTTAGGGGGGGTGGATCACCTGTGCAGAGATATTTCTGAAAGTGCATGTCACAGCTCAATCCCACTTTGCATGACTGTTTCTAGATAATATGTTTGCAACATACTAAAAGATTATTGTGATATTGTAATAAGTTTTCTGCCAGTGGAAAAAAGATTGACAGGATCACTCTGATTTGTGATCAAATTTGTGTTACAGTATCGTATATGACACTAAAAGGGCATTTACAAGAAAAGTATGAGACTTAAGAAAGTAAATGTTTAGTACGTTGCAGGTTGTATATATACAGAATCACTGTGTTAAAATATCAAGGCTATATCAATTCAATCTTTTTCACAATCCCTGTACAGAATTTGCGCAAATTATGGTCTGTCGAACCCTTTAGATCAGAAGAATCCAGAAAATTGACAGTGAAATCATATAGGGATAGTGTGTTTCTGTTTTTGGTTATTGGGAAGCCCAGTATACTTAATTTAGAGCTCAAACAAAAATTTCCACTTCAGCTGTACCTAGTGTCCCTGAATTTCTTGGGAGGGAGGGATCGGGGAGCGAGGGCGGGTGGGGGAGATAGGATTGTGGTTGTTCATATTATACGTGTAGTGAACACAAGTCGTGTAGTGAACACAAGTCGTGTAGTGAACACAAGACGTGTAGTGAACACAAGTCGTCACAAGTTGTATGAGGAATATCACACTGTATTGTTCTTTTGTGATGTGTCTTCTCATGATAGCCTCCTTTGTCCTTTTTCCAAATTAAGACTTAACTTTTCTAGAGCACAGCAATCGTTGATGGCTCTTTGTCGTTTCAAATAAGACACTGCTGGACACTCATCCCCTCTTGATCGTAGTTTATTCCATGCTGAAGTATTGATATCTGACTCAGAAAAGCTTAGGTGTGTGTCATTTCATGTTGGGCCAAAAAGGTGTAGTATTAGGTGGGCACCTCAAATGTAGCACCGAGGGTTGCTGATAAAGTTGTTATTATTTCGTTTTTACTTGAATTTTTCTATTCATGTATATCTCCTCCTACAAAAACATATGTTTACAGATCTACAGATGGCATGCTAAGCTGTGTAACTGGCGTTACATAACACCAAGTCAAATTCTTTTGAACATAACTACGATGACACATTTTTTAGAATTTGAACATACAAAATTATTTAAACAGTTTTCTTATTGCTTTAATTTTCAAACATAAGCATGAAGAGCATATAAAATGGTGAAGATCACAGAAAACAGAAATTCTGAATGCCATTGGTTGCATTTGTGTCATCACAGGTATGTCCGAAAGAAATGAAAAACTTTCTGTTTTCATATCTTAATTTCTTTTAGGAAAATTTGGGCAAACAACGATTCAGACGATTCAGTTTGACTCTCAATGCATGTTAATGATGAAAAAATAACACTTTATTCACATTTTACTATGAATCTCTGCAAAATATCAAATATCTTTCGGACATAACCGTGATGACACAAAATGAAAAATACCCTGAAAAGTAATTTACGGAACATAAAATTATTTAACAGTTTTATGATTGCTTTCATTTTCAAACATAAGCGTGAACAGCATATAAAATTACAGAAAAAAGAAATTCTGAATGTCTTTGTCTTCGCATTTGTGTCATCATAGTTATGTCTGAAAGAAATGAAAAACTTTCCATTTTCATTTTTTAATACATTTTTTGAAAATTTTGGCATACGAAAATTCAGGAGATTCGGTTTGACTCATAAGGCATGCTAATGGTGAAAAAATGCCACTTAATTCTCATTTTACTATGATTCTATGCAAAATACCAAATATCTTTCGAACATAACCACGATGACACATCATGGATAAATGTTTGTCTTCATTTTAGAACATATCATTAATTTACATCAAATTTTCCCCTCTCGTTGACATCTAGCCTAGCACGCGTGGTCACATCCAGATTTACCACTACTTGACCATTGGAAGGCAGTGCAATGTTAATCATTACTTGGTTTCAATTTAATTAGATAGTGGGAAACATTTTTCGGACACAACAGCTTTTTTCGAACATGATATGTTAAGATTTGATGACGACAGAAGAAAACTTAAATGAATTCGTTTCATCCATCGTTATTCTTCTCGCCATCTTGCATCGCACAACAATACGCTTGGAATGGATCGACAGGATCAATGCACTTTCCTCCACCCGAGTTATTTTCGTTTTCTTTTTGGTTCTTTTGAGCCTAACAAATGATGACAGAGCACGAAGTGTCGCGGGATTTCCATTTATTGCAAAATTACGCATGATCACTGCCTCAGAATCAGTCGGGGCAGAGAGTAAACATTGAACGATATTATGCTCCTTCCAGGGCCCCGAAATGGCCGATAGAATCTAAGTCACGGGGAATCGAAGTTGCCTTGTGAAATACTACTCGAGTTATGCTTGAAAATGAAAATCTAGAAGGCTCACAAAGAAAAAACAGCTACAGATATCACTATTCCTGATATAGCACCACAAATGATGTAGTTGTCGTAGAAGGGCGAGTTTCTCAGCAATTATTTCATTGTTGAACGTGACAACAGAAAAAGTACGAACTCAACGCATCACGTTTTAAATTCAAAAAGTGTGCATCGATTTCAGAACTAAAGATATTTGTAAGATTCTTCTGATGGTCCCACTGCTATTTCTCTGTGCTGCTCCCATTGCTGGAACATCATATCAAGCACGACATATACTCTAATTTCCAAGCTGTAGCACCATTTTTATTGGAATAGGAAAGGATTTTGTAAGGTATATTTTAAAAAACCCACCTATTGGCAAAGGCTCATATTATATATATGATATATATAAAATACAGTTGAAAT